GCATAGTGTTTAGGGTTAATGCTTTGAATGTGGTGGAATTCGGGAGGGATCAACCCTAAACACGGGAACTTTCAAGGTGTTTAGGGCTGATGCATTGAAAGTGTGCCTGGCTCCCTACGGAATTTAGTTCGTTTTACACCGAAATAAAAACCAGACCAAACAAAAACAGCATAAGACAAGCCTTGTCTGCGCGACCAGACTGAAGTGACGTAACACGTCGCAAAATTTGTCTTTGCTGAAAGGATCGAACCGCAAGCTGCAATCCCGCAATTCTGGCCGTAAAACCAAATGGCACCTGTAACGTCGAGATGACCTCGTTCGCAGCATGAAAATAACGTGAAAGCGTTTGTAGGTCGATCCATTTGGACGAGGTTTGGTCGCCCTACCTGCGGTGCGAGTTTGGTCGATGGGATTGAAAGAAGTTCGCGCGCCGGCGCGTCGCGCAGTTTTGCCGTTCATCCTAGATCAACCATACACTACATTGTTCATCTGGACCACGCGGTGCGCGATGCATGCTGCTTATGGAAACAGAGGCCGGTGGTGGACGTAAGCCAATCCTGACAGAAGTCAGAGTTCGAACAGAAAGGCTTCACACAGAACACTGAGGGCGGGTCACACATTTATTTTTTCTGGGCTCGTTTGACGTGGTTGCATACGTTTGGGTGCGGTCATTGACTTTCACCGCTTTATATCATTGCGCACTAGAATGAACCATTTAATGCGAACCTGGAACAAAAAAGTATGACCCGCCCTGAGGCATACGATCGGGTTTCCAGTTACTGTATACAAGAACTATTGATTTGGATCCTGCGCTTCTGGTGCGTTTTGTCTCTTTTCACGCTTGCTTACCTTACATTATGGGTAATTATACGAAAAGTCACTATATAGGGCGTGCTATCACAAATTTTTACTCGGTTATCATAAACGGTCATCGAAACAGGCAAATCTATCACTGATAGTCACCGAATATCACGGATAGTCACCGAATATCACGGATGGTCACTCGTCGCCCCACGATGTTATCATGAATGGTCACTCGAAGAAACGCCCGCCCGAAAGTTGAAATGCTTCCGCATGCGATGTCACACTGTTGCAATTTAGGGACTATTAGCGCGTTAAATATCTCTGTCTTTTTTTTGCGGCACTGTTTCGGCCTCGCAACACCGTTTTGTCCGTAGTGTTGCGAGATGCTACTTAAGAAATGGTTTTGCAACCACTCTTGCTAACTCGTATTAAACATCCAAAAGAAATCAAAACTGCGTTGAAAGCACGTGTTTCTGCGCTTTGAGCGAAAATTGGGCAGTAATAGTGCGCCAGAAGCGCTGTAGCTACGCTGGGAGCGAAGAAGTTCAGTGACAGCGGCCATTTTCAGGTGCATGCAACTTAGTCTATGAACTGTATTCAAGTGCATGCCATGTTATTCGGCAGGTGTGTACACTTTACGCAGCTTAGAAACATGTTAACTTGAAATCACACAATTTCCAAGGTTCGTTTCGAATTAGCACAAGCAGTCGAGAATATATGTCTTTTTGGATTTAGCAAAGCTAAATCGGAATGGTTCGCTCTCGATTCTGCATTTTCTGACGTCACCAGAAGCAATCATTGCATGTTTGCCGAATTTCGACGTGAATTTTTGCTACGCCCCAACTCTTCTTGAAATAACTTAAATGCTAGATCAGTTGTACTATTGGCGTGGTTGACGGACGCTGCGCATGGCAAATCAACAAATTTTTCTTGGGCGTGCAGAACGTGAAAAGTCTGCCCCACTTCTTATAGATTTTCCCCTACCACTGTAAAACAAATACGCTACAAGTATTATAAATGCTAAATAATAAAGGCTAAGGTATCACAACAAATAGAATATGCATGTACCATATGAACATTATTTTTTGTAGGAGTAGATTTTACAAACAGTTGGGCAGACAGGCAAGACGATAAATGAAGAAAGGAGGAAGGTTTTCACTAGCAGTAGTTGGGATACATATAGCAAACCCTAACAGGGTTGTACTCGCTATAGAGCACCCCACTACAGGCTAGATAATAACATTCTGACACACCCCCATAGCCAAAGTGGGGTGTAATCAGCACAATGAGCAGGCATAGCAGGAGTTCACAATAATAAGCAGAGCTAGAGGTAATCGTAGCGGGCAAGTGAGGAGGAGGAGGAACTGTGGAAGGAGAGAAGATGGGAGGCAACGACTGAAGCTGCAGAGGCACGGGCACAGGAGCGGCTAACTCAGTGGCTACCGAAGCAAGGGCGACGGTCTACTGGAGTGACTGGCTCCGCGGCTAAGACGAGCGGCAGGAGCAACGGACCCACTGGCGACTGGTGCAACAGGCTCACTGGCTACCGAAGCAAGGGCGACGGACTACAGGCGCTGCAGGCGACACGACAGCTACCTCCACACAACCTCCTCCAACTGTCCCACACCCCGTGACACACACCCTAACTGCTTCACCCCTAACTCCACTCCCATGTCACCCCCTCGTACCACTCCGACGGCTCCAACACATCCACCCCCCCTCAGCGGCAGCTGCAGCACTGGGAGACGGAGGAGGAGGAGGAGCAGGGGACGGCGCACAGAAACTGCACCCCCATACCCCCCACCCCCAAACCCTAATTCAGGAGAACGGGCAGCAGCAGGGGTGGGGCGCCGTCAGAAGCACGGGGGACAGCGGGCAGCTCAGGGGCAGAGAAGAACGGGCCGCCCACGGGCCTGACGAACCGCGCGCAGGTGGCCCGAGCCGCGCGCGGGCCTGGCGCAGCCCGTACGGGCCGCGCGCGGGTCTGGCGCAGCCCGTACGGGCCGCGTTCGGGCTAGCGCAGCCCGCGCTGGCCGGGACGGGCGACCGGGGACGACGGGCTGGTCCCCGTCGCCCGTCGAAGCGCCCCCCGGGGGCGACGTGCGGACCGACGGGGCAGAAAGCCGCCGCGCGCCTCGGGGCGCACGGCGGGCAGAGAACCGCCGCACGCCCCGGGGCGCACGGCGGGCAGAAAACCGCCGCGCGCCTCGGGGCGCACGTCGGGTAGAAAACCGCCGCACGCTCCGAGCGCGCGGCGGGAAGAAAAATCCGTCGCACGCCATGGGGCGTGCAACACACAGAGTAGCAGTGGCAGCGGAAGCAGTGAGGTGGTGGGCCCATACACAGGAAAGACCCAGGAGGGTCGACCTGCTCTGATAGCATGTTAAGAACTATAGCAGGCAAGACGAGAAATGAAGAAAGGAGGAGGGTTTTCACTAGCGGTAGTTGGGATACATATAGCAAATCCTAACAGGGTTGTACTCGCTATAGAGCACCCCACTACAGGCTAGATAATAACATTCTGACAGGTTTACCCTTTTCAAATTTCTGCACGCCCAAGAAAAATTTGTTGATTTGCCATGCGCAGCGTCCGTTACCCGCGTCAACAGTAAAACTGATCTAGCATTTAAGTCTTTCAAGAAGAGTTGGGGCGAAGCAGAAATTTGCGTCGAAATTGGGCAAATATGCAATGATTGATTGTGGTGAGGTCAGAAAATGCAGAATCGAGAACCAACCATTCCGTTTTCGCTCTGCGTAATCCGAAAGCACATCTATTCTCGACTGTTTGTGGTAACTCAAAACGAATCTTGGAAAGCGCGTCATTTAAGATAACACGTTTCTAAGCTGCGTAAAGTGTACACACCTGCCGAATAACATGGCATGCACTTGAATACAGTTCCTAGACTGAGTTGCATGCACCTGAAAATGGCCGCAGTGACAGTGTGTGCTCGACTCAAAACCCAAGTTTCTTCATAGTGGCTCAAGGAGTTTCTCTCTGAGGGATCGAGTGACCATTCGTGATAGCATCGTGGGGCGAGAGTGGCCATCCGTGATATTTATTGACTATTGGTGATAGATTTGCCCGCTTCAATTACCGTTTGTGATTACTGGGTGATCATTTGTGATAGCGCGCCCTCGATAATGACTAAATGTGTAATAACCCTTATGTTATCTTACTTTTGTCTAACAATGGTTGAAATGTGCTGTTGTTAAAATGTGCTGTTGTTACTCTGGAATGCAGGTTACCGCGTCACAAGAACTGGAGAAGAACTTTTTATTTCGTGAGTGGGTGTCTCAAATGCGCGAGTCTGCGCTGGTCCGGCGCGGACCTGGAGAGCCAGCGCAAGAACCACCGCGTGAACCAGCGGCGGACACGACCAGGATGCGGGACTTGTAACCCCGTTATATCCTAATGGTGCCATTGCCAGACCAGTCCGCGCCTGAACAAGCTCGCACATTTTTGCGAAATCTCTAACTCCCCCGTGATTTTCGCGCATGGTGATGCGAAGTACATTTGCCGTGCCCCGCCCCGCGAGATCTGTTCGTCGATCGCGATCGACGGATTTCTCCCGATCGTCGAGAGGGTCTAAGGAATCGGCCAGTCCGCCCTCGTTCCAAATGTTGTCTGCGGACTAGTCCGTCTGGTCCGCAGCATGCCAGGGCGAACCAGCTCGCATGTTCATGCTGAGTCCGAGATCGCACTTCCCCAACTTTCTCCCAACATTCCGCCTGACGGCTTTAAGATGCTCGCTTGTGAAGACCACGTGTCGGTTGGTTACAATGTTCACAGTTTCGGAACTGCCTTACTGTTACGAAGCTTAAGATACACTTCTTGTGTCCAACAGACGGACATTGTATCTTATGCCTCAAGGGGTCTGTTTCTCGTGTCAGCCACTGTTACCAAGGTCTCGCGACAGTTTCCATGGCTGATCAGTGCGGCAAGGTCAAGGGTTGACACCTGTTCATTGCGTTATCACCAAGGTTCCCGCTTCGGGTTGTGTCAAGAGCCATTATTGGCCGGTTATCTACTACAAGATTCTAGGAGCAAACTATTTTCAAGGACTTCATCTTCTCGGTGTTTCAAGTACAAGGATTTAAGCAATGGCAATGGTGATGCTGGATCAGTGCTCAGACTTTGGCCTTCACCACAGAGTGGTTTCCACATTGTGCCTGGTCATCATCACACCATGTCCAGGATGACGACCAGGAATGGAGGTGTTCGTCACACGGATACTCTGGCTGCCAACTCTCTGGATAAGACTAAGGAGGCGTCCGTCGTCACTGATGCTTCAGCATCATCGGCTGTCAAACGTACTTCGGACCTGTTTACGGAGACGGACAAGGACGCGCTTCAGCCGGGTGTGACGGCGCAGCGTGTGCTGGAGGCCGCGCGGAGTTTAACGGGTTCGGCGGTCCCTGCTGCTACGGCGACTTCTACGGATGGTGCTGATAAGCCTGTGCCTGCAGATGGTGCGGGAGGCAACAAGGAGAATCAGGGGAAGCGTCATGCTACGACGACTGTTACGGCTACGGATGATGAAGACGAAGATGACGGGTACCTCAGTGATGACCCGGAAGAGCGGTATGACGCGTCCGCGAAGAACGAGGTTGCTCAGCGTGTTCGTTTCGCCATAATCCTGCTGATCCCTCTAGCCTTCAAGCCGGAGGTGACGCGGGTTCAGGCGACTCTACGCGCGCTTTTCACCCTGTGGAAGAAGGAGCTGAAGTTTGAGATCCAAGGAGAGACAAAGTTTCAGGAGCTGTCTGTGGTATACCTGAACAAGAAGCAGTACAGCCGGCTGCAAGTCACCTTTGAGCGTGCTCGGGACGCGAACTTCGTTTGGAAGCACGGTATTGTGCACGTGTGTCTGGATGGAAAGCGGATCAGCCTCGACTGGCAGCACCCGGTGGATCCTGCGTACGTGAAGGCGCGAGCGGCTGATCCATCGTTGGTGGAGGTCCTGTTTAAGGAGGTGGATGCTGTTATCACGCCTGAGATGTTGCGGGAAATGCTGGTGACGGTGAAGTTGGAGAAGAGGGGAAGGTCGGCGTTTAAGGAAGGTTTTTGCTTTCATCGGGTGGTCAACCCTGTTACGGGGATGGATACGGATAAGGTAAAGGGACTGGTGAAGCAACATGCTGGGGACAAGTATCGCTGGCGTCATATGATCGAAGATCCAACGGCGCATGACAAGCAGCTTATGGTCCACTACCCCTCCCAGAGCTGTGTTTACTGCTCTGGGTTTCATATGACAAGGTATCATGATGACTACGTAGCGGATCGGAAAAACAACATCGGCAAGTGGAGCCTGTCACTGGGACGGGTGCATGGGATCAATGGTAATGGTTGGTGCTTTCTGACTACTCACCTGCTGCTGCTGTTTTTGTGGTGGAGTGATGCTAACGTTGTGGATGTGTCGGATCCGCGCAGCCGCCTCAGTCCAGATCACAGATCTGACCATGCTTATCTTGAAAGACCCGGCGGTGGTGCTGATCTCGACTGGAGCGAACCACGAGGAATGGATCTGCGTGCAGGAGTGCTGCGAGAAGGCGAATGGGGTTACCTTTGCTCAGGCGGCAGAGCATGTGGTCTCACAGAGGCACAGCGATGGAGTGACGGCTGGCTTTGCATCGCGCGCCTCAAAGGCTGGCGTGGCGTTGCAGGCGGCAAAGAAGGAGTTCGGAGTGTGATGTCGATCTGCGGCCAGGCTGTGGGGGATGGTGGTGTCAGAGCATCTCAAACTGGAAGAATGGAGAGGGTAGTGAGGCATAGCTGTGGTGTTGGTTTTTCTTGTTGTACCCCAGGAGTTATAATCGGAGTTCCAGCTGCAGTATCATTGCCCTGTGGATGCAAGGGGGGCTTAATGGCGGTTATCCAATGAGTAACACCAACCGTCTCTCCATCATGACCCTGAACGTCAACGGTTTGGGGAGCGAAGGGAAGCGGCAAAAATTAAAGAGATGGATTAAAACAGCAGCAGACGTGGTGGTTTTAGCGGATACAAGAGTGGCAGAAGATCACAATTTCTGGACGGAATTACAACCTCACAGTGTGGCTGCTGCTGGTGCACCCACCAGGGCAGGTGGGGTGGCCATTCTGAGCTTCCGGGATGGGGTGGTTATTGAGGATGTCCACCGACATGCGTCGGGTAGGCTGCTCCATGCGAGGGTGCAGTGGGGCGCAAGGCAGCTGAGATTGTTGGCGGTGTATTTCCCAGCGCAGGCTCCGCCAAGGGGTAGTTTCTTGGGGTCGGAGTTCAGTGCTTTTGCCGCAGGCCTGCCAAAGGGGGAACAGCTGATGGTAGCGGGTGATTTCAACATGATCGAGGATCCAGTGCTAGACAAATCAAATTGGCAAGGTGTGGTTGGCGATAACAACAGAATGTTGCACATGCTGCAAGGTTTCCAGCTGAGGGACGTGTTCAGGGAGTTTAATCCGGACGAACGGCAGTTTACCTTCTTCTGCGGTTCTGCGAAAGTCAGCTCTCGGATTGATAGGGTGCTGGCCTCACAAGCGCTGCTGCATCTGGTGTCCAGGGTGGCGCATCGTAAGATCCTGAAGGGGATTACGGACCACAAGTGCGGCGTCTGCGTGCGGATGGCGTGGAGAGGTGCGCAGGGGCCCGGGCCGGGTGTCTGGCGCTTTCCGGCGAGGCTGGCGCAACGCCCCGGTGTTGCGGTGGTGGTGGCAGAGGTGGTCCGGAAGCATGAAGCGGAAGGGGGTGGTGACTTCGACAAGCTATCCAAACGTCTGGGAGCCCGCCTGCGCAAGTATGATAAGGAGGAGAGAAGGCGGGTTAGGCGGACCCGGCGTACATTGGAGGAGCAAGTGAACTCACTGCAACAGAAAGCTATGGCGGATCCGAGTGATGATACGTTACAGGCAGTGTTGGCGAGCAAGGAGGCGATGTTGGAGAGGTACTGGGACGGTCGGAGGAGTCTCCTGCAAACGAGGACGGGTCTGCGGGTGCAGCTTAATGGTGAGGCACCCACTGCTCTTCTGTCGGCACTGGTCAAAATCAGGAAAGCGAAGTCGGGGATTAAAGAGCTGGTTCGTAACGGCGTGAGTCACACAGAGGCTCGGGAGGTCCTAGCAGCGGCCACTAGCCATTTCGCGGAGGTCTTTGGTGAGCAGTCAGGGGGTGATGGGGCAGAGCCGGCGTTGGAATGGGCCCCGCGTAGGATCCTTGAGGAGGCATCTGCCGAAGTCATATCAAGGGACTGGACAGAGGCAGAGGTTAAGCAAGCTATACGTGAGTTGGCCAACGGCAAGTCACCTGGCGGCGACGGTATCCCAAAGGAGCTTTTCCAGTACCAGTGGGAGTTGCTGAAGAAGCCGGTGATGAGTATGGTCGAAGAGTTCGTGTCGTCGGGGAAACTGCCGGATGTGGCAAACGAAGTTGTCACGATTCTGCTTTACAAGAAGGGGGAGGAGACGGATGTCAGGAACTACAGGCCAATAACGCTTCTGACTAGCATCTACAAGATCCTGGCGAAGGTGGTGGCGACCAGGATGAAAGCAGTACTGGATCAAGTGATTTCTAAGGAGCAGTTCGGTTTCTTACCTGGCAGGCGGCTTGCAGACGCGGTGTCGCTAGTAGCTGATATGATCGAGACGGCCAGGAACGAAGGCAGCGATTGGTATTTGCTCCTCATCGATTTCAAAAAAGCGTACGACTCGGTACGGAGGGGTTACATGCTGGAGACGATTGGCAAGCTCGGCTTTCCTCCTCGTTTTGTGGGGTGGATTGAGTCTCTGCACAAGGATGTACACACGAAGTTATGCATCAACGGGTGGGTTGGTGACCAGATTCAGATGCAGAAAGGGGTGCGGCAAGGGTGCCCGCTAGCGCCGTACCTGTTCTTGTGCACGGTGGAGCCTCTTAGCCGCCTGGTGGAGAAGAAGGAGCTGGGGATCGGAGAGAAGGGCTGCGAAAGGCTCGCGTACGTGGGGTACGCCGATGATACCACGCTGCTGCTGGAAGCAGGAGCGGTACTCCAAGAATTTGCGGTAGTGTCAGGGATGAAGGTGAACACTGGGAAGTCTGCCGTGCTGCCGCTGGGGAAGAATGTGGGGGAACCGGCGCCGCCTGGTCTGGGCTACAAGTGGGTGGAGGAAAAGACTGCAGAAAGGCTGTTGGGGGTGTGGATAACACCTGGGGGGGACGCAGAGGTTACATGGGAAAAGGCCTTCGACAGGGTGGCAGGGGAATTAAGTAAATGGCAGGTGAAGTACTTAACGACGGGCGCGAGAGTGACCATTATCAACAGCTATATCATCCCGATCTTTCTCTTCCAGGCGCAGGTGTATCCTCCAGATGACCTGCTGTGGAGGAGGGTGGAGAAGTTGATTGAGAATTTTGTGTCGGGGAACAATGCGGATACGGAGAAGCATTTCAGATTATGGAGCGGCGGGCTGATTTACGCGCCGAGAGAGCTAGGGGGTTTGGGGGTAATTGACCCACGTGGAAGGGTTGACAGCGTGGCCTTACGGTGTGCGGGTCTGACGCTGTTGCAAGAGTGCTCCTTACGTCGAGGGCTGGCGGAACGAGCGGCGGGCTTGCCTCTGGGGTGGGCGACGCTGTATGCACACAAGGCGGTGCTGAAAGGGGGACTGATACGTAGCAGGAGGTGGGCGAGGATCTGTGAAGCGGTGATCAAGTCGACAGTGGTGGAGGTGAAAGAAGCGTCATCGAGATGGGAGGCGGCGGAGGAATTCCTTTGCTTTAACAAATGGGTTATTCACCGGGGGAATGCTCCGTTTGGCGGGCAGAAAGGCACCGAGAAGTTGAGAAACTGGAAGATGCGGGATATGGTTCTACGGAAGTGGGACGGCACGGTGGTTCTGAAGTCAAAAGAAACTCTGGCAAGGGAGCTGGGGGGCGAAAAGGAAGCAGAGATGGCGCTCAAGGCGTTTGCGGCAGCTCCAGCGCAATGGAGGAAGTGGCTGCTGGCGCCTCTGACGGCGGATGAAGTTGCAGCTGCGTCACCGGTGGTGTGCACCAAGCTTCCGGGTGGTCAACGGTGTCTATGGGAGATCAGCGCTTGCATGGGAAGGAAAGTCGAGCTAAGTGGCCTGGACGGGAGAGGGGAGCGCACGGCATGGAAGGTCAAAATTGTGCTGGGTTGTGACAGTGTGGTGCCTGTGGTGCTCTCCAAGACACGGGCGGTGAGGGAACTTGGGGACGCTAGGGCGCGGTTGCTGGGATCGGCCCTGGTTGAGGAAGACAAGGTGGGCCCGCTAAAGCGGCTCAGGGAGCAGAGCAAGAACTCGGAAGCGGTAGAGGCGAAGAGGGCGAGCTGGGAAGCTCGGGCGGGCAGAAAGATCGACTGGGAAAGGGGGAGGCGCATCAGAGACTCCCTGGTTACTCCACTGCGTGCGCGGGACGTGCTGCTCCGGGTGCAGGATCTGAACCTCCAAGTGGGGGAGAGGGTTCCGTTCCTGCGAGGGGGAGACGCGTGTCCGCTCTGCGGGAAGAAGGAGACACTGGAGCACTGTTTGCTGGAGTGCTCGCGGGTTGCGCCGGTGGTGTGTGCTGTCAAGACAGCGCTCGGCATGATGCAACCAGCGAGACACGTGGACCAGCTGGCGGACCTGTTGTTCGGGAAGGAGGTGACGAAGTCCGGTTTTCCGGAAGCAACATTGGTGGCGGTGGCGGTGCATCAGATCTGGTTGGGGAGGTGTGATGTGTCACTGCAGAAAACGAGGAAGTTTCTGGTTCGGAAGGTGCTTCGGAAAATTAACGTGGAATTCAACAAACACGTAAGGGTCTACTGTAGCTGTCCTAGTAAGCGGGCACGAAGAGATAGGGCGAGGTGGAACTTGGCCGAGGATGAGGCACGTGTCATGAAGCGGATTTGTGACAACGGTGCAGTAGGGCTGAGGTGGCAGGATGGCTTCCAGTCCATATGGACGAACCCGAGGACTTTCATGAAACCACCGTAGCCTCGTGGGGAGGGCTAGGTTCCTGCCTGGCTGAGCCCTTCAGACACAGTTACGACTGTTGTGTTTTGCTTGTACTCTCTTGTGTATAAGCTTTCACTCAAAAAAAAAAAAAAAAAAAAAAAAAAAACAAGAGGCGACGAATTCGTCTTAGGGTTGCGAAGCGTTTTGCGTAATTATATAAATTTGTACAACTTCTAATTCTGTACATTATGCTGTAGTATGACACTAAGCGGTACTTCCTCTCACCAGGCAAAGATCAAAATACCGAGCTAGAACCGAACTGGAGATCTTTCGATTCCACCGTCAACCTTGTACGACTGCGAGAACACTGACGTCCATCTCGAATAGCTGATTTAATTGGTCATATAAATTTGCGACGAATCTGAGACTACCTTAGGGTTTGTTTGCCCTTTTTTTCTCCCGCTTCTCCTTCTCGCTCGTCACGCTCTACCAACTTCTCCACCTACTCTAACTGCAACTTAGGTAAGAAGATCCCTCAATTTTAACTCCAACTAAATTAGATGCCTATTAGATAGACTAACATTTAGTCATTCCGTATCCTAACCGTGTAAATGGATGAGTATTAGCGAGACTTAGTTGTTTAAACTTAGGTTCTCGGCCCTTTGTAAAGATTTCAGGTTCTCCTTCCTGCATAAGCTTGCATCTGTTTCTTCTATTCTTCATCCTTAAACTTTTCCTCTCGTCGGTTGCCTTTTCTTCATATTTGCATGTTTTAGTTCATTTTTTTCTCAACCTCGTCTTAGGTTGTACATAAAGATTGTAATAGGTTGCACGTTCAGTCCATTTCGTTCTCTCTCGCTCGTTCTCTCTCTCCCGTTCTCTCTCTCCCGTTCTCTCTCTCCCGTTCTCTCTCTCCCGTTCTCTCTCGCTCGTTCTCTCTCTCCCATTCTCTCTCCCGTTCTCTCTCGCTCGTTCTCTCTCTCCCGTTCTCTCTCTCCCGTTCTCTCTCTCCCGTTCTCTCTCTCCCGTTCTCTCTCTATCGTTCTCTCTCTCTCGTTCTCTCTCTCGTTCTCTTTCTCGTTCTCTCTCGTTTCCTTTCTTTCTTATCATCTTATACGTCCCTCCTTCAGTTCACCTGCTACCTATGCGCCATCTACTTCGTATTAAAGAAGTGATGATGTGAGTACGTGTTTGCTCTTTGTTTTACCACTCCTCTCTCATTCTCATCTTGTTCTTTCTCTTCTTTTCAGTATTTTTCTTCTTCTCATTCTTGTTTCCTTTCGTTTAGTAAGTAGTGTTTCTGCTAGATTGTGTTGATGTTCTTTCTTGCATTCCCTCTACCTTCTTTGCCCACATCCGTTTTATCTCTCTCTCTCTCTTTCACTCCTCTGACTTTCCAGTTTTCTCTCCGTTTTTCTTCCCCCTCTCCTTCCTTCAACCGTAATGCTTTACCGTTGTCATCTCATGCTTGCCATATTTAGCTAATCCTTATTCGTATTAAGGGCTGTGGCATTACTCAGAGTTGCCAACAGAGCATGAGCATCATGTTCAGTCTCTTTGACGACGAAAATATTCGTGTAGTTAGAGTAGCAATTTATTTACGAATTCTGGTTTCATCTAACTACCGTTTTGTTTTTACTAGTTCACGATAATCTGGTTTCGATTCGACTATAAGAGACTGGCAAGCCTTTCAGGAAACAACTCACACGTAGTTCTCTCTTTCTCGTGCCAAGTACTAATCTGCTTTATAGGCTGCAGCAGATCAGTACTTGGTTTGTAAATTATTTTTTGTTGTTTCTGTTTTCTCGTGTTTTTCCTTCCGTTTTGCTTCGATTTCTGTTATTTTGTATTTTATTCGTCTTTCGGTTTGGCGGTTTGTTCTTGCGTCGGTGATGTGCTGCCTTCTCTTCTGCTCCTTTTTCACTTGTATTTTGAATTTCCGTTCTTCAATTTTTATCAATTTCCTTAACCTCTCCCTTGTTCCCGCTTTTCCCCATTTGCTCTGTATTTCAGCTTGCTCTAACATTCAGAAAGTCAAGTCACAATGTGGAAGCTGGAAGATACCGTACTAGAGGCGGCTTGTAGAACTCGTTAATTTATGTTCACTCATGTGCCTTGTATTTTTATTAAGATGTAGGTTTTATTGCATGTGCGTATGTGTCTGGTATGTGTGTGTGTGTGTGTGTATGTGTGTGTGCATCCATCCATTTCATTTGCATATACTATCATTGCAATAACAATGCATGTCTGTGGGTTTTAAAAGGGTGAATCAGGTCTATCATTTCATTAGAAGGTTCATTGGCGCGCCTGTCGGGAGCCCACTTGAACTGGAGATGATAGTGTTGACCATCTTTTTAGGGTTCACAGATTGTGTTGTTTCATGTGACTGCTGATTATTCAAAGATTATGCTATTAGCTCCCCCCCATGCTAGGCAGGGGATGCGATAGCATAGTTTTTGGGTCGTTAGCTTTCACGCATTTTATCATTATAAATATGCATCTTGGATTGTCAGTAACAGGTAAGCATTATCCATATCGATTATTGTATAAGGCATGCATTTATCATTCATCATAGCATATGTTACACAATATATGCTATTCTATATAATATCATCTATTCATCTAAATTCACCGATCATTATATTCATCTTTTCATATCATGTGCATATTATACTATACTAAATCACAACAAAGTAAATCACAGGGACAACCTAGTTGTCCAAACAATCACTACTCCACGTTAGAATAATTGAACTAGACAGGACTTCTACGTTAGAATAGTGCATCCAGATTTTTTTTTCCGATTTTCATATTTTATTTAAATAAATAAATAAAATGTGAAAATGTGGAAAAAAAAAAAAAAACTGGCCAAATCGATCTTAATAGGTTGCTTCGCAACCCAAAAAAAAATGCTGAGTCCGAGCGCCTTCCGAACTAGGCCAAGCCGCTTTTGCTGGATTGCCTATTTCTTGTGCCTACAGCCTCACCGCACCGCAGTAGCGTCTCGTTCCCATTCTAGCTTGTATTTTTAGGGTCGTGCAGCAACCTTCGCGGTCGATGTAGCCGAAATTTATCATTACTCCAGTCGGACTGATGGCGGAGATCGCTTCTGTGGTTCGACAGCACTCCCGCGTTTCGCGGCAAGGCCGTAAGCCCCCTCAGTTGTTGCCTAGTCAGTCATTCCATCGCGGCCGGTCGCAGGATGGCTCCGATACTCCCGGCGAACGACGTCGCAGAAACGGTCGCAGCCCGTACGGTGATCGGTCGCCTGGTTTCGAACCGCCGTCTCCACGTTCCAACCAATCGTATCGCTCAGGGTATTCACCGAGGGTCGTCGACGGACGGCCGCGTAATGCGGAGTATCGCGACGCGCAGCAGCAGCGGAGGGAGAGCGCCGGCCCGCAAGACTGGGCATCCGCGGATGAGTCCGAAGGCGCGTCGGCGGAGAGTAAAGTTTGGCGATGGCTGGGAGGCAGCAGCGCCGACGACGGCGCGCAGGGGACGGGCGCGGCGGATGCGGAACGGCCGTTCTGGTACCGCCTGCTGGGGTGGGAGCGGCGAGCCGCGCCGGCTGCGGCGCCGGCGGCAGCGGCCACGAAGGGGAACGGCGGGGAGGAGTTTGGAAGTCGCGGCGCGGAATTGGATTGTCGCGGTAATGGCGGCGGCGCGGAGGGTGTTATGGCGCCGGCGCTGCTGTCCATGTCGCGATGGCTGCCGCACGGCACGGGCCGCGAGAGCAATATCGAGTTGGAGCCTATAACGGAGCAGTGGACGGAGGAGGGCAACGGGCAGCGCAGTGCGCGATGGGGCACAGAATTGCGCGGTGACTCCGGCACCCACACACCAGGGTACGAACCTTGGTACGAGTTTTGAGACGTCTCAAAAGTCAGAATTGCGTGTTGACCCCGGCACCCACACATTAGGATAGGAACCGTAGCACCAGTTCTAGCGGCTGGGGGGGTTGGTTCGGATGGTGGCTCGGGTGGTCGCACGAGTACGAGTACAAGTATGGCCGCTCGCTCTCTCCTCCTCCACCTGCCACTCTTCCTCTCCGCATGCCCCACTCCTCTTCTCCGTTGCACATCCCCTTCTTTCGCTCTGAACCCGCTCCATTACCCTAAGCTGCTCCCCAAGCCTCTGCCCCCTTCCCACCTTCTGCCTGCCTCCCTCCCTCTCTCCCCTCCCCTTCCCTCTTCCTCTCCCCCACACTTACTCCACGACAGCTCCCAAAGCAACCATGGCTCCGCATTTGACGCTGCAGCTTTGGAGGACAGGCTCATGAACGAGCCACTCATTGCCGACCCTACCGTCGCCGCTGCCACCGCTGCCGCTTCCGAGCCTCCGCCGGGCCTACCGAGCTGGCTCCGGGAGGTGGATGTAGGCTCGGCGAGTACAGGCTTGACTCCGCACGTCCGGTTCGACGACTCTGGCTCCAATCTGTCCCAGGACATGGACGGTGCCGAACCTCTGCATGAGTCTCGGGCCGAGCCTCCGCCGCGTTTGGATCAGCGAACGAAACTCACGCTTGCGCTCGACGCTGCAGGGGAGCACGACGAGGATGGCATGGGGGCTGATGATGTGGACAAAGACAAACCAATCGGATTCCTCGAAATTCCGGACGAGTTGAGAGCCAGTCGTGTGGAAGCAGCGTTTGCAGCAGCAGATATGAACGGGGAGCGGCGAGGGAGGCGGGTGTTCCGTGCGAGTGAGAGCAGTGGGAGCAGCACGGGCGGCGGGCGAGGCAAGCAGTGGGAGGGACGCGGGGCGGATGGGGAGGAGCTGGACGAGGATGCTTCCGAGCAGTTTCTGTTGGACAAGGAGGTTGTGCAAGGTGGGATGCGGTGCAAGGTGGGATGCGGTGCAAGGTGGGATGCGGTGCAAGGTGGGATGCGGTGCAAGGTGGGATGCGGTGCAAGGTGGGATGCGGTGCAAGGTGGATGCGGTGCAAGGTGGGATGCGGTGCAAGGTGGGATGCGGTGCAAGGTGGGATGCGGTGCAAGGTGGATGCGGTGCAAGGTGGATGCGGTGCAAGGTGGGATGCGGTGCAAGGTGGGATGCGGTGCAAGGTGGATGCGGTGCAAGGTGGATGCGGTGCAAGGTGGATGCGGTGCAAGGTGGATGCGGTGCAAGGTGGGATGCGGTGCAAGGTGGATACGGTGCAGGGAAGTGATGCAAGGTGGGAGGTGGTGGTGCAAGGCGGTGCAAGGTGGTGACGCACGTGCAGTGGCCCGCCAATCACTTTATGATTCTCAATTTTCCTTCCCTTCCTCCCCTGTGTTTCATCCTCCCTCCAACTGCTCGTCTTCCCAATGCGTCCACCACACTGTCTTCTCCCACCCCGCACCTACCACACTGTCTTCTCCCACCCCGCACTCACCACACTGTCTTTTTGCCATGCATGATGCATAAACACACATACAATAGCTCACAAAACGCTGCACTCTCCTCCCTTTCTCATACCTCTTCCCCACTCCAACTCTCTTCCCCGTCCCTCCCAGCCATGTACGACTCAGTGACGCACATGCAGTGGCTGACGGGGAACTTCAAGAACCTGCTCGCCTCGCCTTCGTCTCCCCTCCTCCCAACCCCTGTTCCCCACCTTCGTCTCCCCTACTCCTCTCCTCCCAACCCCTGTTCCCCACCTTCGTCTCCCCTACTCCCCTCCTCCCAACCCCTGTTCCCCACCTTCGTCTCCCCTATTCCTCTCCTCCCAACCCCTGTTCCCCACCTTCGTCTCCCCTACTCCCCTCCTCCCAACCCCTGTTTCCCACCTTCGTCTCCCCTACTCCTCTCCTCCCAACCCCTGTTCCCCACCTTCGTCTCCCCTACTCCCCTCCTCCCAACCCCTGTTCCCCACCTTCGTCTCCCCTACTCCTCTCCTCCCAACCCCTGTTCCCCACCTTCGTCTCCCCTACTCCCCTCCTCCCAACCCCTGTTCCCCACCTTCGTCTCCCCTACTCCCCTCCTCCCAACCCCTGTTTCCCACCTTCGTCTCCCCTACTCCTCTCCTCCCAACCCCTGTTCCCCACCTTCGTCTCCCCTACTCCCCTCCTCCCAACCCCTGTTTCCCACCTTCGTCTCCCCTACTCCTCTCCTCCCAACCCCTGTTCCCCACCTTCGTCTCTCCTACTCCCCTCCTCCCAACCCCTGTTCCCCACCTTCGTCTCCCCTACTCCTCTCCTCCCAACCCCTGTTCCCCACCTTCGTCTCCCCTACTCCCCTCCTCCCAACCCCCGTTCCCCACCTTCGTCTCCCCTACTCCCCTCCTCCCAACCCCTGTTTCCCACCTTCGTCTCCCCTACTCCTCTCCTCCCAACCCCTGTTCCCCACCTTCGTCTCTCCTACTCCCCTCCTCCCAACCCCTGTTCCCCACCTTCGTCTCCCCTACTCCTCTCCTCCCAACCCCTGTTCCCCACCTTCGTCTCTCCTACTCCCCTCCTCCCAACCCCTGTTCCCCACCTTCGTCTCCCCTACTCCTCTCCTCCCAACCCCTGTTTCCCACCTTCGTCTCCCCTACTCCCCTCCTCCCAACCCCTGTTCCCCACCTTCGTCTCCCCTACTCCCCTCCTCCCAACCCCTGTTTCCCACCTTCGTCTCCCCTACTCCTCTCCTCCCAACCCCTGTTCCCCACCTTCGTCTCCCCTACTCCCCTCCTCCCAACCCCTGTTTCCCACCTTCGTCTCCCCTACTCCTCTCCTCCCAACCCCTGTTCCCCACCTTCGTCTCCCCTACTCCCCTCCTCCCAACCCCTGTTCCCCACCTTCGTCTCCCCTACTCCTCTCCTCCCAACCCCTGTTCCCCACCTTCGTCTCCCCTACTCCCCTCCTCCCAACCCCCGTTCCCCACCTTCGTCTCCCCTACTCCCCTCCTCCCAACCCCTGTTCCCCACCTTCGTCTCCCCTACTCCTCTCCTCCCAACCCCTGTTCCCCACCTTCGTCTCCCCTACTCCCCTCCTCCCAACCCCTGTTCCCCACCTTCGTCTCCCCTACTCCCCTCCTCCCAACCCCCGTTCCCCACCTTCGTCTCCCCTACTCCCCTCCTCCCAACCCCTGTTCCCCACCTTCGTCTCCCCTACTCCTCTCCTCCCAACCCCTGTTCCCCACCTTCGTCTCCCCTACTCCCCTACTCCCCTCCTCCCAACCCCCGTTCCCCACCTTCGTCTCCCCTACTCCCCTCCTCCCAACCCCTGTTCCCCACCTTCGTCTCCCCTACTCCTCTCCTCCCAACCCCTGTTCCCCACCTTCGTCTCCCCTACTCCTCTCCTCCCAACCCCCGTTCCCCACCTTCGTCTCCCCTACTCCCCTCCTCCCAACCCCTGTTCCCCACCTTCGTCTCCCCTACTCCTCTCCTCCCAACCCCTGTTCCCCACCTTCGTCTCCCCTACTCCCCTCCTCCCAACCCCTGTTCCCCACCTTCGTCTCCCCTACTCCCCTCCTCCCAACCCCTGTTCCCCACCTTCGTCTCCCCTACTCCCCTCCTCCCAACCCCTGTTCCCCACCTTCGTCTCCCCTACTCCTCTCCTCCCAACCCCTGTTCCCCACCTTCGTCTCCCCTACTCCTCTCCTCCCAACCCCTGTTCCCCACCTTCGTCTCCCCTACTCCCCTCCTCCCAACCCCTGTTCCCCACCTTCGTCTCCCCTACTCCCCTCCTCCCAACCCCTGTTCCCCACCTTCGTCTCCCCTACTCCTCTCCTCCCAACCCCTGTTCCCCACCTTCGTCTCCCCTACTCCTCTCCTCCCAACCCCTGTTCCCCACCTTCGTCTCCCCTACTCCTCTCCTCCCAACCCCTGTTCCCCACCTTCGTCTCCCCTACTCCCCTCCTCCCAACCCCCGTTCCCCACCTTCGTCTCCCCTACTCCCCTCCTCCCAACCCCTGTTCCCCACCTTCGTCTCCCCTACTCCTCTCCTCCCAACCCCTGTTCCCCACCTTCGTCTCCCCTACTCCCCTCCTCCCAACCCCTGTTCCCCACCTTCGTCTCCCCTACTCCCCTCCTCCCAACCCCTGTTCCCCACCTTCGTCTCCCCTACTCCTCTCCTCCCAACCCCTGTTCCCCACCTTCGTCTCCCCTACTCCCCTACTCCCCTCCTCCCAACCCCCGTTCCCCACCTTCGTCTCCCCTACTCCCCTCCTCCCAACCCCTGTTCCCCACCTTCGTCTCCCCTACTCCTCTCCTCCCAACCCCTGTTCCCCACCTTCGTCTCCCCTACTCCCCTCCTCCCAACCCCTGTTCCCCACCTTCGTCTCCCCTACTCCCCTCCTCCCAACCCCTGTTCCCCACCTTCGTCTCCCCTACTCCTCTCCTCCCAACCCCTGTTCCCCACCTTCGTCTCCCCTACTCCTCTCCTCCCAACCCCCGTTCCCCACCTTCGTCTCCCCTACTCCCCTCCTCCCAACCCCTGTTCCCCACCTTCGTCTCCCCTACTCCTCTCCTCCCAACCCCTGTTCCCCACCTTCGTCTCCCCTACTCCCCTCCTCCCAACCCCTGTTCCCCACCTTCGTCTCCCCTACTCCCCTCCTCCCAACCCCTGTTCCCCACCTTCGTCTCCCCTACTCCTCTCCTCCAAACCCCTGTTCCCCACCTTCGTCTCCCCTACTCCTCTCCTCCCAACCCCTGTTCCCCACCTTCGTCTCCCCTACTCCTCTCCTCCCAACCCCTGTTCCCCACCTTCGTCTCCCCTACTCCTCTCCTCCCAACCCCTGTTCCCCACCTTCGTCTCCCCTACTCCTCGCCTCCCAACCCCTGTTCCCCACCTTCGTCTCCCCTACTCCCCTCCTCCCAACCCCTGTTCCCCACCTTCGTCTCCCCTACTCCCCTCCTCCCAACCCCTGTTCCCCACCTTCGTCTCCCCTACTCCTCTCCTCCCAACCCCTGTTCCCCACCTTCGTCTCCCCTACTCCTCTCCTCCCAACCCCTGTTCCCCACCTTCGTCTCCCCTACTCCTCTCCTCCCAACCCCTGTTCCCCACCTTCGTCTCCCCTACTCCCCTCCTCCCAACCCCCGTTCCCCACCTTCGTCTCCCCTACTCCCCTCCTCCCAACCCCTGTTCCCCACCTTCGTCTCCCCTACTCCTCTCCTCCCAACCCCTGTTCCCCACCTTCGTCTCCCCTACTCCCCTCCTCCCAACCCCTGTTCCCCACCTTCGTCTCCCCTACTCCCCTCCTCCCAACCCCTGTTCCCCACCTTCGTCTCCCCTACTCCTCTCCTCCCAACCCCTGTTCCCCACCTTCGTCTCCCCTACTCCTCTCCTCCCAACCCCTGTTCCCCACCTTCGTCTCCCCTACTCCTCTCCTCCCAACCCCTGTTCCCCACCTTCGTCTCCCCTACTCCCCTACTCCCCTCCTCCCAACCCCCGTTCCCCACCTTCGTCTCCCCTACTCCCCTCCTCCCAACCCCTGTTCCCCACCTTCGTCTCCCCTACTCCTCTCCTCCCAACCCCTGTTCCCCACCTTCGTCTCCCCTACTCCCCTCCTCCCAACCCCTGTTCCCCACCTTCGTCTCCCCTACTCCCCTCCTCCCAACCCCTGTTCCCCACCTTCGTCTCCCCTACTCCTCTCCTCCCAACCCCTGTTCCCCACCTTCGTCTCCCCTACTCCTCTCCTCCCAACCCCTGTTCCCCACCTTCGTCTCCCCTACTCCTCTCCTCCCAACCCCTGTTCCCCACCTTCGTCTCCCCTACTCCCCTCCTCCCAACCCCCGTTCCCCACCTTCGTCTCCCCTACTCCCCTCCTCCAAACCCCTGTTCCCCACCTTCGTCTCCCCTACTCCTCTCCTCCCAACCCCTGTTCCCCACCTTCGTCTCCCCTACTCCCCTCCTCCCAACCCCTGTT